TTGGGTATGTGGATTCATTGGAGGATCAAGGAATAAACACGCAAAATGTTCAAGTGGACACAGTATTAAAAAATTTGACCCCAATGAAGCCGAATGAATATTATTCGGAAGCGACAAATATTCAACTTTCTTTTGAGAGATATGTTCTTTCTAATAATCAAGTAAGTGATAATAATAAATCGGTCTGTGTATTTGTTTGCTTTTTATTTGTTTATTTAAAAAATTTCTTTTTCTCGCAGAGAATTTCCAGGGCCCGAAAAGCTTATTTATCTCACATTCGTGCTTACGCTACCCATTCATCTTCCAAGAAAGAAATATTTCACATAAAAAAGTTGCATTTAGGCCATCTTGCAAAAAGTTTCGCTTTACGGGAAGCGCCTTCGAGTATCACATCAAAGAAAAGTCATCATAAAATAGCACAGAAAAAAATCTCCTCTATTGACAAAGAAGTTGTTCAAATTGACCAATTCAGATCGAATAACATAGGTATAACGCGGAAAAGAAAGTTGGATGTGAATGAATTTGCGGTTGGAAGTTATAAATCTATGATAGGACCAACTGTTAAAAAGAAACGAAAAATAAAATAATACTTAAATACCCTTTATTATTATTAAAAACCATCGAATCATTTGTTTGGGCTAGTGTTAATATTTATTTTATAAATGACGAGTTCATGATCAAAAAAATCTACATAATTATTAAATTATATTAACTTCATAGATGTTCAAATCTTGCTAACAAGCTCTAAAATGTCCAAGTTAACAATTAGTATTAGATCTGTAAAAATAATAACAATTTAAGCAATATATTTATGCTTACTCTCAACTTCTTGCACTGATTCTTCCAAAATTTGTTGTTGCTATCCATCAAATTGGGCAATATTATTATCAGCTTTGTTATAATTCATAAATTGAAAATACACATTAACAATGCTCACCATTTTCTGATCTTGCAAATTCTGCTTGACTTTTTCAATAACAGTATTAGCGAGAGCACGTTGTTCACGAGCACGCACTGCAGCCTCGTAACGAACCCAAGAATCTAGTACTGCCTTGATTTCCGCAGTAACCTCCACTTTTTGTTTTAGTTCAAAAGCTTCAGCTTCTAACTTAGCGGTTTCCTTCAATTCATATAATTAAATTTTTCTCATCTCTTTTAGTAAGTCAAATCAGAATAAGAAAAAAAGACTTACTCTAGAAAGTGCAAACAATCCTTTTGTCACATCAACAATATCACCCAATTGTGAGACAGAATCAATTCTATCTTTGACAACAACCTTGTGTCCTTCACGAGCATTTTGCAAAAGTTTATTGATACGCTAGAATACCAATATGAAAACAATTATTTAGGTTATAAATGATTAAATTCATAAGAGCAGAAAATAATGTATTATTACATTTCCTCTTTCCGTAAAGTACTCGACCAAAGGCGTCTTGCCATACTTGACGATACCCGCACATAATCCTATGAATGCTATCACAACTAAAGTTTCCTCATTGAGCACATATATTTCTTTTGAAATGGCAAATGTCAGAAGGCCTGCACCCACGGTGAAATACCCGGTTTTTGTGATGAGGCTATTGCCTGGGAGTGAGTCAATAATACGCCGAGCTTTTTCTTTAGGGTCGAGCGGTTTTTCTACAAATGTCAATCAAGACAATGCGCTTATTAAAAGGTTTTTGTAATGATTCCTTCGATAAAAATCAAATAACTTACCATCTTTTGCTGATGTGGCGTAATTTCTAAGACTGATAAAAAAAGTAGGTCAGCATAAAATTACAAATTTATCAGTCAAATATTTCGAGGTTTTATCTAATTGAAAGAAATTTTGATTTTGCACACAAATTGATTGATCCATATTCAGATCCGACCATCTTTCCCAAGGTAATAATAATCTATCACCGTTATTTCTGAATAATCGATTCTATCGAAAATTGACATTACCCGGGGGCAAAAGTGATACGTTGAGCAGTAACAAGAGCCGGTCTATGGGCGAGCGCTGAAAAGAATGTAAGCAAATACTATTGAAAATTGAATATTATCTCATTTAAGCTTACCAATAGCACTCCTGTTTCGCAGAAGGCTGAGGGCCATATATATATATAAAAAATGCGCTATTCAAAAAGTGTCTTATATTAACTCTAACTGTAAGCAAAATGAGTTCAAAGGTCAATAAAACCATATTTATTAGTTGTTCTGAAATGAGATAAAAAGGTAAAAAATATACATACCAACGATAAAAACGACAGTTGAAAGTAGATGCTAAGAAAATCTACAAAAATGGATCTTTAAGAACACGTGAGTCTAGTATGAAAGTAACGCGAAATTTGCTAAATCTAAATAATAGAAAAAATGTCTCTTTTCCGACGAGTAATTTCGGCGCTTGAAAAAATTGCACCATTATCTTTAGCCGATACCAAGGACAATGTTGGCTTACTTGTAGAACCACCATATCCCCGAGAATTAGCCTCTCGCGTTTTTCTTACTATAGACTTGACGACTGAGGTGTTGGAAGAAGCTCTTTCCGATCCCAAAGTGGGTTTTATTGTCGCATATCATCCGCCGATTTTTCGTACTTTCAAGCGTCTCACTCTTACTGACACCAAACAAGCTATTGTCATGAAATGCGTGGCGAAAGGTGTCGGAGTTTATAGTCCACATACTGCACTGGATTCTTGCATTGGAGGAGGTGCGGTATAAAGCTGGGTGCATCTTTGAAGTGAAAAATATAGAATATCTTTGTGAATGCGATTTTTGCTAGTGAACGATTGGCTTGCAAAAGGACTTGGCTCGGGGAAAACAAAAGTAATTACTCCTTTTGAGAATACACCTCCCGGTATGTATATCTATCTATCTATCTAGCATTAGAGAAGGAAGTATAACTTGCAATTTTTTAATTCATTTTGGTGGTTTCTTTAGGTCATGAAGGAACAGGTTCAGGCAGAATATTCACTTATGATCAGCCAACGCCTCTCTCAAACGTGATTGAAAATGTGAAAAAGCATTTACGACTTCAGCATGGTACGAACATTCATTCATTGTAGCATGCATACGTACAAGACTGATTTTTCAACATTCCTAAAATAATTAGTTCGAGTTGCTACAGCAGCGAGACACAAGTCTGAGTTAATTTCGACAGTTGGGATTTGTGCTGGATCTGGTTCGAAACTTCATTTATTCTTTGCATCTATTTTTGCTGTAATCAATTTCTACTAACAGAGATGCGATTATGATGGTTTTTTGTGTAAGCAGGGTCTTCTATACTTTCGCATCTGAACACCGATTTGTACTTTACAGGAGAAATGTCACATCATGACGTTCTGGCTGCGTTAGCTCATGACACTAGCGTAATTTTATGTGAGTTCTTTCACTACATTGTTATTCATTTTTACTAATTTTTATTAACTTGACTGAAAACAAATCCTTGGCTATATAAATAATCTATTAGGTGAGCATACCAACACAGAAAGAGGTTATTTGTTAGATGTCTTGAAACCAGAATTAGAAAGAATATTACAAAGTAGTGCTGATGTAAATATAGATGCGCAAATAGAAGTCTGCGTCAGTCAACTCGATAGTAATCCAATAAAAATCATCTAATCTAGTTTACAAAAAAATTCGATCGTGGAAAATTTCAGGAAATTAGTACTGGGCTCTCATTCTGACAATTCCGATATATAAATTTCTTTTTTTGGTTGCTTTAATCAATCGGCTGAGTGATTTCGGAAGTTGTCCTAGATTTCTAGTGCTGAAATAATATAATAATATTAATTGCATAATAATAACAAATAATAATAAAAAAAACAATATAATCGGAAAAAAAATCGAAGACCTATCTCGAAGAAAAAGAAAAAACATAAGCGAAGAAAAAAATCAACTGTAATTACAGAAGAAAAACTAGCGATGAAAAAAGATGATGCAAAATTAGTCTGGACTGTACATGTATAGTAGATTAAAGATAAATATAACTGCCCACATCTATGGAATAATATTGTGTAACGTAATAATAATAATAATATTTGATGGAGGTGGTGGAGACTTGCTTCACGCTTTTTTTGTGTTAAAAAAGAATACCGCCTTCAATTCCCCAATTCTCAAAATAATAAAGGATCTTTTCATGTACTATTAATTGATGCTGTTGTGGTGGTGGTTGTAGTTGTGGCTGTGGTGGTGGTTGTTGCTATGGCTGTTGTCGTCGTCATCGTTGTTGATGTTGTAGTTCCATTAGTGCTTGTGATGCTGTTGGTATTATTACTATTATTATTATTATTATTATTATTATTATTATTATTATTATTATTATTATTATTATTATTATTATTA